CTTTGCACAGAAACCATGTGCCTGAGTGATCATGAGCAAGGACAGTGAAGGCAAACAGAAGACGGCTGTGGACACAGAATACCCGAGTGATTGCACCGATGGATCATGACTTTGATGCACAAATAAGACATGGGTGGAGAGCTCAGGTGGGGGGCAATTCCATAAGTTCACCTGGTGAAGCAGACAGATGAGATTCCCTTCCACTTGATGATAATAATAATTTTTATTTATACCCCGCCATCCCCAGCCAAGGCCGGGCTCAGGGCAGCTAACAAACAATAATAAAATCAAGTTGAATGAATGCAGCTTAAAAACAAGATTAAAATACAACAATTAAAATATTGAAACATTAAAATATTAAAATGCAGCCTCATCACAGGAGGAGAAAGGAAAAGGAAAAAGAAAGAGGGGGAGGGAATCAAATTGGCTCCAAGCCAAAGGCCAGGTGGAACAACTCTGTCTTACAGGCCCTGTGGAAAGAAATCAGATCCTGCAGGGCCCTGGTCTCATGAGGCAGAGTGTTCCACCAGGCCGGAGCCAGTGTTGAAAAGGCCCTGGCTCTGGTTGAAGCTAATCTAACTTCCTTAGGGCCCGGGACCACTAGGGTGTTGCTATTTATGGGCCTTGAGGCTCTCCTTGGGGCATACCGGGAGAGGCAGTCCCGTAGATATGAGGGTCCTAGGCCGTGAAGGGCTTTAAAGGTCAAAACCAGCACCTTAAATCTTACCCTGTACTCCACCGGGAGCCAATGCAGCTGGAAAAGCACTGGGTGAATATGCTCCCATGGCAGAGACCCCGTGAGGAGCCTCGCTGCTGCATTCTGCACCCGCTGGAGTTTCTGGGACAGCTTCAAGGGCAGCCCCGCGTAGAGCGAATTACAGTAGTCAAGCCTGGAGGTGACCGTCACATGGATCACTGTGGCCAGGTCGGGGCAGGAAAGGTAAGATAATGTTATCTTGCTCCTGCCGAGGGAAGAAGGCTGGTACTTAAGGTAGCAGCTATATGACAGGGAGAAAGGATGGTTCCCTCAGGTCTCTGCCCAGGAGATCACCAACCACAGCGTTGTGGAGTTCAGTGTGCCATGCATGGAACAGCTGTACATAGAAACCGAAGCATTTGTCCATTGGAGTGCTCTGGATACAAAGCCATTGATGAGCCCAGAGAAGGCACATCTGTGTGGTTGCTGCCTCTTTGTGTTTCTCCTGGTTCAAAAGAGTTCTCCTGGCATCAGATATGGCTCACAGGAGAGCCACCATCCCAAGAGATGGTAGCCTTGCAGCAGCACTGTCCGGTGGATGTCCTTTGTCTAAATATCCAAAGACTGTACTGGCCAGTGTTTTTGTTAAGTTTCTAGAAAACTGATGTAGAGCTGTATAGTTAGATCCAACTGTACGCATGCTTTTGGGAGCTAGTGGGGACCCCTTTCGTGTTCACTCTTTTTCTAAATTGTTGTATATCCGGTGTAGCTATCTTGTTGCATTTCTTCTATTCCAGTGCATTTATTCCTGGATTGATGGCTAGTGCTGTATTCAGCTCTGACATCTTTGTGAAAGAAACATGTAGTGCAGTGGCGTAGCATGGGTTGTCAACACCCAGGGCAAGGCAAGTAATTTGCGCCCCCTAACCTGTGGATTTGCGCCCCCTAACCTGTGGATTTGCACCCCCTAACCCTAACCCCCAGATGTTGCGCCCGGTGCGGCCGGCCCCCCCTGCACCCCCCACGCTACGCCACTGATGTAGTGCAATGCTCACACTGGATCTATTACACTTCGGAATCTGTCGGTTTTAAACATATTACTGTAACCAAGTGACTTAATAAAAGCTGCATGGTGTTGTTATCACTGTGTTTGCAGGAGGGGTTTGTGCTTCAGCGTAAGGATTAAACTCTAAAGTTAACCAACTCTAAAAGCAGTTGGAGTTGTATGAGCAGCAATTGGGCTTTGGCAAGAGCAACTGACAGGGCAGGATTGGCTCCATTATTCCAGCCACACAGCACTCATCTTTCCTGACACACCCATACTTCCTGTCTGAAGAATAGCTGTGATATTATAGAATTAAGGATGGTCTGGAATGTGTGACCTGACTATTAAAGTGATTAGTTTTCCCCTTCTCACCTGAGATCTGTGTGGGATGTCAAGGGATGCTATGTTTCACAAGGCATGAAGTACTTCCATGCCAAAGTGACCTGCGTCGGCTACAAGGAAATTCCCTTCTTCGGTGCTTCTTCGCTTAAGGAGAATGGCATTCGGTGAAACTCTGTGGATGCTGACATTACATGTGGCCATTTTAATCCATTCTTTGCTGCTTGCATGGGGAGTTTATTACCATCTCACCAGGACCCACATTCCTCCAGGAATCACCCATGGTGCAAAATTACAAATTATCAGTATGGCTTCGGGATATCTCTTTGGACTGGTAAGTGTGTGTATGGTCATTTTCTCTTACTGAGCAACTTGTATGGGATACAGACCGCCTGTGTCTGTCAAGGGAAGAGGGAGCATCTTTGAGTTCCAACTTGTGTCTTGTGAATTACTCTGCCCATCTCTAATATCTCCAAACCCCACCCCCCCAACCACATTGTGATAATGCCTTCCACACTTCAAGCAAATGAGGGTTTTTTGGGGGGTTTTCTTGCATGCAGCCTGAGTATTGGTTTTTCTTTTCAGGGCACTTACACAAATTCTGTCCAGCTGTCATATTTACAGTGTTACAAGTCTCTCCCTCTGCAAATGCAGTAATAAAGAGTCCACTTGTGATATATCAGTGGTTCAGTGCTTGGACGTCGATCCAGTAATCCGATGTTTCGTCCCTAAATAGCTTAGTCATTGAGTTTTGTAGCAGCTAATATACAAGAGAGGACAGTATGTAAATGGCTTAAAGTAGGGTTATATCTGTCCCCATCAGCGTGTTTCCATCAGGAGCAGGGCCATCTTTAGCATATGTGCTGCCGGGGTGTAATGATTCGCTCAATGCCCCCAAATTAACTTTCATTATGCTTATGTCAGACACCACGCTTATGCCTTATCTCTTGTTTATGAAAGAAGGGAGAAAAAAGAAACAAGCTTTTTTATTTGTTCGTTTATTTACAATACACTTATACTTAAGTACTTAAGTACACAACAACACCACATTTAACATAAGTATTGTTAAGCACCTACTTAGGAGAAACATCAGTCGTGTAAAAGGTGCCGCTGCCACATAGCAGCTCAGTGCAATACATACCATAATATTTTGATGTAAGAGTTAATTTTGCGTGCACAGCGCCATTGTGAATGACAAGCGTTGCCTTTGAGTCTGACAAGTGCCACCGTTGTAAATGACAAGCGGCGCCACTGGTGCGGCTCGTCTTTGGTAAACGAGCACACAAAATCGAAAGTCCTTTAGTGAAACAGTAGGTATACATTTCGGTAATACCTAGGTATATATGTATTTTGTTTTTCTAGCTTGATCAAAATTATTTATTATTTCATAACAGGTAGATAGTTAAGAGCTTAGGCGGCTTCAGCGGCAGGCACCTGGCGCCCCCCAGAATTCAGCGCCCGGGTGCCCCGCACCCCTTGCACCCCTGGGTAAATACGGCTCTGATCAGGAGGAGCATAAAAAGAGGACTGTGTCCTACTGTGGTGTTAGAACATTCCTACCTAAAGGGGAAAGCCCACCTCTCTTTCCATTGCATTTTGATTCTGAATCCTGTGCTCCATCCTGCTACTCATCCTGCCCACCCCAACTTTTTTAAAAAAGTGCTCAGGTTTGGTTTCTCTCCATTTGTCCCCACCCCCTCTTAATATTAAAAGCTAATCCTTGTGAAAATGCACCAGCATTTTAGTACATACTTCTTCAGGGGTGCCAACTTGAATAAAATATTGGGATGTGACATATTTGAAAGCCAATCAACCTGATGGGGGGTGTTTTGGCCCCCTCCAATATCTTAGGGTAGGGACCTTGGCCCCTAGGATTTGGCTCCTAGGCATCTAATAATCCTCTTATTATTTGTGCTCGGTTGTGACTAATAAACGTATTTGCAAGCAATTGACCTTAATGTGATGCATTTTCATACGTCATTAGGTAAGACGTTTAGGTAGGGTTTTTGTTGTTGTTGTTGTTGTTGTTGTTGTTGTTGTTGTTGTTGTTGTTGTTAAAAGGCAAACAAATTTAATTTCCCCCATCCCTATTTATCACTACAGGTGACAAAAAGTGGGTAAAGCCAGAAGAGATTCGGGAAATGAGAGTGATCCCAACTGTTAGGGGCAGGGTTGGCAAGGGGGAAAGATGTGATTGATTTGTGCCATTCTAAGTCAGGACGCGGGTGGCACTGTGGGTTAAACCACAGAGCCTAGGGCTTGCCGATTGGAAGGTCGGCGGTTCGAATCCCCACGACGGGGTGAGCTCCCGTTGCTCGGTCCCAGCTCCTGCCAACCTAACAGTTCGAAAGCACGTCAAAGTGCAAGTAGATAAATAGGTACCACTCCGGTGGGAAGGTAAACGGTGTTTCCATGCGCTGCTCTGGTTCGCCAGAAGCGGCCTAGTCATGCTGGGCACATGACCCGGAAGTTGTACACCGGCTCCCTCGGCCAATAAAGCGAGATGAGCGCCGCAACCCCAGAGTCTGCCACGACTAGACGTAATGGTCAGGGGTCCCTTTACCTTTACCTAAGGTGGACGTTGGCATTTCTCTGCCTCTCAGTTCTGGTTCTCTCCATGGCGGGAGGTTGAGCTTTGGGCTTTTCACTGTGAATGCAAAAAGATCTGAAACGGATCATAAATGCTAAATGTTTTGGTCCAAATAGGGGCTGCTCCTGGAAAAACTTGGCATTTGCCACAGGTATATGATCTGGAGGATCTTAGATGTTTGGATATCACCAAAACACTACCAAGGGCTGATAATAAAGGACCTGGTTTTCGATGGGGTGCCAGTCAGGGTGCACTGGCCCCAAACATCACCTGCTGAGAACAGGAGAGGAGTGATGTATTTTCATGGAGGTATTGCTCTCTTCGGAACAATGCGTAAGTTCTTTGAAAGCATCTTAAAGCTATATTGTTCTATGATAATTTGGGAGTCCTGAAATGTTTGCCATGGAGGGTGGTGGGAGTGGTTTGTACTGCCCCTGTATGTAGCTCAAGTTAAATTCCCATGGCAGGATGGGATTCTATTACAAGAAAATGAGACAGAGAAATCCATTCACACTGGTGACCAATTCTGTATCCTCACCAGCCTTAATGGTCAATGAAAAATCCTTAAAATGCCAAAGAGCATGTTTCTGCTTTGTACGCCAAATGATTTGAAAAGAGGTTCCAGAAATGGTCAGAAATAACTAAGCAGAAATGTGCACTGAGCCTTGGTTCTGTTTATATTTATATTTATATTTATATTTATATTTATATTTATATTTATTTGGTTCAATCCAACTAAGTTTCTCCCAGAGTAGGTTCATTAGGTTTCAGGGTTTTGTTTTGCTTCTTCTTCTTTTTTACAATTCAGTGGCCTATAAATTTTATTAAATAAAATTGTATTCAATAAATAAGTAAAATAAGATAAATAGACCCAAATTAGTCATATCTGTTAATTTTAATGGATTTACTTTTTGGGGGGGGGGTTAGAGCAGGAGCCTTCTATCTATATTGGTACCCTGTAGTCTGTCCCAGAGTCTGGTTCTGGAGACTGTATCAAAGGCTGCTTTTAGGTCAACGAAGGCAGTGTATAGTGAGGCCTGGGTTAGATTGGAAATGGGGATGATGAAGTGGAGGCTAGCATCTGCCTAACATCAATCTACAAATGGCTGACATTGAATCTGCTCCCCCGAGGGATAGCCCCATTGATCCTCTGCGACCAATTCCAGTCGGGCTGGCAGACTGCAGTCCTGAACACCCTCCGGAAATTGGGCTTTGCCCCTCAAGCCCTTCTAAGTCTGGGTTTGGGCCAGGCAAAAGCCACAGTCAGGCAAAGAATATTAGATACCAGGAGACAACAGGATTTCACAAGGTGCCCCGACTCTAAAATTGGAGAGATCAAGAGATATATAGCCTCACCGGCAGCATATCTCTTCTTTCTTGTATCTAGAGATGCAAGAAGGGCCTTTACACTCGCCAGAAGCTCGGCTCTTCCCTCGCCGGTCCTGGATGGAGCTTTTAGAAAAGTCCCCTACGCTCAGAGACTTTGCACCTGTCCATTGGGAGAGATAGGAAGCCCAGAACACTTGTTCTTTAAACGTCCCTTTTACGAAGAGGCACTTAGTAAGTTCATTGATCCCCTACTGGTGAGGCTCGCTGACCTCCCGCAAAAGCAAAAATTTGACCTTTTGCTGTTAGGCAAAGATCAGAAGATGACCTGGATGGTCGCCAGATTCTGTCTACATATCTGTAGGCGCAGACCATCGCCCAATTCAAAATAGTCCGGCATGAAAATCCCCAAACTCGGTTCCATGGGTGACTGTGAGTCAACTCCCTGGGATAGTTTATTGTTGTACATTGTTTCTAAATTTATTGTTGTACATTGTTTTAATTGTCTGTTTTAACCATATTTGCATATCAGTTTCTAATGCTGTGAGTGTCCTCCATTTCAGAGGCTTCTAATCTGCAGCCTCTTATAGTTGTTTTAACTGCAAGTTTTTTAGTTCTTATGCTCTTACAGTTGCTTTAACTGTGCGTTTTTATTTGTTTTTAGTTCTTATCTGTTTTAATTATCAGGTTTTATCCACCCATTATCCGTGTTTAATCTTGTATTTTATTCAGATGTTTTTATCCTATGCTTGTTTCTTTGTCCTTATCTGCTCCAACATTTATCTGTTTTAAAAAATCCTAACTGCTATTTTATTTATATGTTGTTTTTGTTTTTTTATCCTGGTCTGTGACCGTAATAAAGTTCATTCATTCATTCATTCATTCAATGGATTTACTTTGAGGAGGGCTAACGCTGGCTGTAACTCAAAATGATTTCAACATGCATGACCAGGAAATTTTGTTATGGATGCTCCCTGCCCCCTATAGCTGTTGACTGTGTGTGTGTGTGTTTTCACCCCCCCCCCAGGAGCCTTTGAAAGAACATGCTGCTATATTGCCCACCAAAGTGAGTCAGTGGTTGTGAATGTCAAGTAAGTGGTTACGCTCTCTTTGTAAAAAAAAGGGTGTGTGAGAGTCCCCTCATCTTCTAATCCTTCCTAAGACCTGAGCCTGGAGGAAGCCTGCTAAAATTTACATAGCGATTTGGCCAACCTTTCAAATGGACATTCCGTTTTGCATTTGGATATTTTTTATGTTCTAGGGCCCCATCATAAGATGAGTTCTGCTGGTTCAGGTCAGTGAATGGCCCATTTAATCCAACATCCTGTTCGCAACCAGTTGCCCATGGGAAGCCAGCAAGCGGAAACTAAGTGCAACAGGCCTCTCCCCAGTTGTGATTCTCAGAAAGTCGTATTCAGGTGCATATTGCATCATCTGTAGCTTTTATTCAAGCACAGCCACTTTCAGGGAATGATCTGAAACCTCTGAACCTCTCCTACCCCTAGTGTGGACTGATGGGCTAGTTCATGGGTAGGCAAACTAAGGCCCGGGGGCCGGATCCAGCACAATCGCCTTCTCAATCCAGCCTGTGGATGGTCCGGGAATCAGCATGTTTTTACATGAGTAGAATGTGTGCTTTAATTTAACATGCATCTCTGGGTTATTTGTGGGGCATAGGAATTCATTCAGTTTCCCCCCTTCAAAATATAGTCCGGCCCCACACAAGGTCTGAGGGACAGTGGACCGCCCCCCCCCATGAAAAAAATTTGCTGACCCCTGGCCTCTAGTTTCATTTTCTCTCAGTTTCTTCCTTTTGCTTAAGTCTTAAATTCAGTTCTCCACCTAAGCTTGCCTTTAAAAAAGAGTCCTCATAAAAACTGTTTGAATTCTTGTTTGAATTCACCCTTATTTTTGTATGTTATTTTCAAGAATATACATATGCATTTTTATGCCCACTTTACCCCAGTAAAGCATTTAGTTCTATACATTCCTCGGCTGGAAAACTGCACTGTGTATGTTTCAAAGGATGATTGTGTTTCTGTTTGTGCACTGTGTACGGAAACTTCAAATTAGGTGTGTTTATCTGCAGAGGTGAACTGAACTGGAATTTCTTCTCCAACACTACCCAAGGTGGAGCATGAAAAGAAAGAGAGGAGCAAAATTCCTATAAAATCTTATAGAATCTCAGTCCACAACTATCATTTTTCTCTCTCCTCAGTGTCATATAGATATTTTTGTTTCATTTTAATTGAAGTAGAAACAGACATCAAAATGGCATAGCACAATTTGCAAGAATACCTCAGAATATACATAGGTAATCCTTAACCTTTCTTGGGAAGCGGGTGGTGCTATGGTCTAAACCACTAAGCCTAGGGCTTGCTGATTGGAAGGTCAGCGGTTTGAATCCCCACGACGGGGTGAGCTCCCGTTACTTGGTCCCAGCTCCTGCCAACCTAGCAGTTCGAAAGCACGTCAAAGTGCAAGTAGATAAATAGGTACCGCTCTGGCGGGAAGGTAAACGGCGTTTCCGTGAGCTGCTCTGGTTTCACCAGAAGTGGCCTAGTCATGCTAGCCACATGACATGGAAAAACTGTCTGCAGACAAACGTCTCTCCCTTGACCAGTAAAGTGAGATGAGCATCGCAACCCCAGAGTCCTTCGCAACTGGACTTAACTGTCAGGGGTCCTCTACCGTTACCCCTTAACCCTATTGTTGTTTTCATGTTTCAGCTTTACCTTATTTTTTTGAGTTCTAGGGTTGCCATATGTCTGGACTTTTTCGGACATATCCAAAATATTGCAATCGGCAGCAATGTTGGAGTGGAAATTGACAAAATGTCCAGGAAAATCAGCAACTTTTCTTTCCAGATTTCCACTGTTTTACTCTGAGTGTAACTTAGTTGGAGATGAGCTGTGAAGTTTATTTAGCTCCACAGTATACTAGTATAATCTGAGGGTGCTTTATTTTGATGAGAGAATTAAAAACAGTGGCCCTAAAACCCAGATAGCTTGAAAATTCAAAGCAATATACCAGGGTTGGAAACCTCAGGGATGCGGGCTGAATGGAGCACTCTGTCCCTCAGAACTCACCCCAGATGACCACCTCCATAGTCCCTGTTTTGTGTGCGCACACACACATGCTTCATCTGCCTGGCTGGAATGTGCATATTTTGCAAAGTTGGAGGAATGTGTGGTGTTCATAGGAAGTAGCCTACGAGTACAAAGATAAACTTTGCATTTTATGTCTGCTTAGGCTCTGGTTCCACCCAGCATGTAGTCCCCAGAAGGTTGCACAGACAGGAATTTGCCCCATGGGGTAAAAAAAGACCCCCCCATACACACCTTCAATATGCCATGAAGAAACATGCTCATTTTCTATGCAATGTACACTGTTGAATTTATAAAATCTCTCTCTTTCATGTAAGTTTCCGGTTAGCTCCTGAGCATCTGTATCCAACTCCGGCACTGGACTGCCGTACTGCTGCAATCCACTTTTTGAAGCATGCAAAGGAATACGGAGTGGACCCCAACCGAATTGCCATTGGAGGGGACAGTGGCGGGGGCACGATTGCTGCAGCTGTCTGTCAACAACTAGTGGCAAGGAAGGATCTCCCAAGAGTGCGAGCTCAGTTCCTGGTCTACCCTTTCCTCCAAGCAGTGGACTTCAATTTGCCTTCCTATCAGCAAAACCGTTCCATTCCTCTGTTGTTCAGGAAACGAGCTGTCAAACACGGTTTCAAGTATCTCACAGGGAAGATGATCAATGTAGACGGAATCATAAAGGGCGCCCATGTCTCTGCAGATATATGGCTGAAGCACCGGAAATGGATTAGTGCTGACAACATCCCAGAAGAGTTTAAGGGCAGGGGCTATGTCCCGGCAGTACCTCCTCCATTTTCTGAAAAGCTTCATGAACTCTGCAAACGAGGTTTTGAGACAATGTTTTCCCCCCTCTTAGCGGAGGATAACATCATCTGCCAGCTCCCTGAGACTTTCATTTTAACCTTTGAGTATGATCTTATCCGGGACGACGGACTGTTATACAAGAAACGTCTAGAGGACAATGGTGTGCCGGTGACATGGCATCATCTTCAGGATGGTTTCCATGGAATAACTGTATCTTTTGGCCTGGGGCCATTTGAATTTCCAGCTGCAAGGAAATGTTTGCAGCATGTAGCAGATTTCTTAAAAGGTATATAGAAATAAATGGCCCGTTTTGTCCTGCGCTGGTAGTCTTCCCCTTCTGTGCAGGCATATTCTTTTTCATGCCCTGCTCTCCCAATCATAACATTAAAAAACCTGAAAGTCAGATCAAATGTTTGGCACAGTCTAATTTATCAAAGTCAATGTGCTGGACATAAGAAAAGCCTTCAGATTCAGGCCAATGGCCACACCTAGTCTAGCATACTGTTCTCACAATGACCAGGTAGATGCTGTCAAGAGTCCAGGTTCCCAGCTTGATAACACAGTAAGTGTAGGTAATTAAAAAGGAGGATTTATTGTAAATACAAACAGATAACTCCGGATGGCTCTAGCCAAGCCACCGGCATTATCACTCAAGATGACCCTTCTGAAGACTCCTTCTGGTGTCGACAGAAGATATTGAACTTTTGACCTTTATGTCTCTTATTTTGCTTCCTGTCTAGCAGCCCCCCAATTCGCCTCTGCCTTGGACTTTTTTGTCAGCTACAGCCTCTTCCTATTCCGAAAAACTGTCTGTGTGGCTGTTCAAGCCTTTTTGAGCTTCCTGAGACCTTTGGCTGTTTTCCAGCCCGCTCTCAGTTGTTCCCTTGGCAACTGGCCGTCCAAGGTTAGAGGGAGTTGATGCTGGCAGCTGTGTGCTCTGCTCAGCCGGCATCGACTCCAAACTTCTCTGTTCCTGACTGTATTCAGCAGCCGGATGCAAAGTTACACTGGGAGCTGGCTCATTCCTGACAGATGCCTCTTGGGACACCCACAAGCAGTGCCTGAGAAAGCTTATAGCGGCTGACATTTGGAAGCATGCTGCCTTTAACTGTAGAGGAAGAACTTAGCCTTCTCTTTCATGAATTTGTCTAATCCTCTTTTAAGTACATCCATGTTCCTGACCATCACTACCCCTTGCAGTAGCCAACTTCACAAGTTAACTGCATACTTCCTTCTCAAACCAGTAAGCAACAAATGCTTAGGAATTCTATCTGACCACAAGGGTCTTTGTGAACTGGTTTGATGACAACTTAAGCTATGCCTGCTTTATTTTAATCAATAATGCTCTATCCTTTCTACTTTCTTTTGTCTGTCCTGAATCTCCCAACACAGAGCATCATAGGATGCCCCTGAGTTCTAGTGTTAGTGAGAGAGAAGAGGACAACTTCTTCCTCTTTGTCTTCCTCTGCTGTTGGACCCATTGATGGCCCCTGGTGGGCCATCTAGTGGGATGTAGGCATTTAAGTTCATTCATATATATATATATAATGTTTACAATTTAGAATACTCATTTAAACATCCTTAAAATATCAATGACTCCCCCTTCTTCTCTTTCCAAGGTTCATTTTGCATATCATAAATCTCTGCATTTTTTACATAAACTAAACCATTCAGTATTCCATAATTACATCCACCAAAACTTATTTACACTGTTGAATTCATCTTAATGCTGGCAACGTTTCTAAGTGTACACAGCCCTCCCATATATTCAATAAACATGCTCCAAACTTCTCTAAACAGATGTTCTTATTGTTCTTTTATTCTATATGTTAAGTTTGAAAGCTGCACAATATTCCGTCAGCTTAAGTTGCCTCGCTCGTTTTCCATTTTTGGGCTAACAAAACACGGGCTGCAGTAGTGGCCAGCCAGCTAGCTAAGTTCTAAGCAGAGTAGACTCCTTGAAATTAATGGGCCTGAGTTACCCATATCCATTTTTGTCAGTGGGTCTTCCCTGGCTGTGATATAACATTGGATATAGCCTAATGGGGACGCGGGTGGCGCTGTGGGTAAAACCTCAGCGCCTAGGACTTGCCGATTGCATGGTCAGCGGTTCGAATCCCCACGGCGGGGTGAGCTCCTGTCTTTCAGTCCCAGCTCCTGCCCACCTAGCAGTTCGAAAGCACCCCTAAGTGCAAGTAGATAAATAGGTACCACTTTCTAGCGGGAAGGTAAACGGCGTTTCCGTGTGCTGCGCTGGTGCCGGCTCCCCAGAGCAGCTTCGTCACACTGGCCACGTGACCCGGAAGTGTCTCCGGACAGCGCTGGCCCCCGGCCTCTTAAGGGAGATGGGCGCACAACCCTAGAGTCAGACACGACCGGCCCGTATGGGCAGGGGTACCTTTACCTTTACTTATAGCCTAATGAATATAGACATACCTTGGATCCCAAACGCCTTGAGAGTTGAATGTTTTGGCTCCTGAATGCCTCAAACCCAGAAGTGAGTGTCCTGGTTTGCGAACGTTCTTTGGAACCCGAATGTCCGACGCGGCTTCTGTGGCTTCCGATTGGCTGCAAGAGCTTCCTTGGTTTCCGAATGTTTTGGAAGTCAAACAGACTTCCGGAACAGATTCCGTTCGACTTTCAAGGTATGGCTGTATTGAACACATTGTCAGATTCTCTCTCTCTCTTCTTGTGAAATCCAGCAACTGCCGAAACAAAATTCCAACCACGTCTGCAAGAGGTGAAACATTTAGCAATAAGAAGGAGCACTTGCGCAGAATGATTCCACGTGTGACATAAGTAAGACCTGTTGAGTAAACTGAACTCATTTCATTACACCCACCATGGGGAGGCTTATAACCAAACCCAAGTTAGTATTTCAACTCTCTCCATATCAGGTCAACAAGCGAGGGAATGTTTGATCCCATTCTCCTGTGATCCACTACAGGTCAAACTTTCAAGGACCTTGAAATCACCTTGAAATGCAGTCCAATTCATCATTGACAAATAGTGGGGAAGGAAGGGTGCAAAGTATACCATTGCAATGCTGTGGTTTGACTAACTTGGCCTTATCCCAGACAGTGGTGGAGGAACACTCTCTGGCACCCGGGGTGGGACGCCAAGGGGCAGGGCAAACCGCCCAGTGGCACACATGTGACATCTGTACGGACTGCGCATGCGCAGCATCCCATACGGACTGCCCTCGGCCGCTCTACAGATGGGGGGAGGCAGCGGGCCATCATGTCACACACACCCCAGTGGTACCCGGGGCATACCGCCCCCTCCGCCCCCCTTCATATGCCCCTGAACAACTTAAATCCTGTTAGTTGGAACCAATAATGGTTAGCCAGGGACAGAATTTCGAACCTGCTACACACAAACTCTAAGACTGAGCTCTTAGGACCCTTGCTTCACCTAGCCTCTGGCTCTTCTGGTGACAGCAGATTACTAGCTGGGGTTCCATTTAGATCTCATAAAACATAAGATATAAAAACCGGTCCCAACGGCCTTTGAAATAAAGTCTGAGTAAAATTGGTGAAGCAGCAAAAGTTTATTGATTACAAAAACATAGCTGCAAGAATGGGTGTCCAAATTAGGCACATCTCAGGTCAGCACAATGCAGGCATTTATCCTTTCACCGAGCGCAAAGTTCCTTCCTCTGCCTGCCCACTGGGTAGGGGCCTGCAAAAGTCACAGCCTATCACGACCGCCCAATTAAAATACTAAATTCTCCTCCTTTGTTTACATCTCCCCCTCTCCAGACCCTCGACGCCCAATCCCCAAGATTATCATTGTACAAATATGGTCAAAAGTCCCTTAACATTTGTCTATTTACATAAGTATTCTAACCACAAGTTGTTCTAGTTACACGTGTTACACCACTATTTGTTTCAAATGCAAGCATAACCGAGTTTTATATCTTATGAAGCTAAAAGGGCAAACCACATTTTGACTACCAGCTGTTCTAATCACAGGTGCAAACAGGCTTCATGTCTAGGTCCCAACCACAGGCTATGTGACTTACGAACTTTTTAACCACGAATTTTGGCTAAATATGTGTTCTCTGTTATCTTGTGACCTATCAGTCTCAGCATTCTTTCAGCAGTTGCAGCTTTCGCAAGGTCTGAAAAAGCAACACATTCCATTATCTTAAAAGGCAATATTCCTTGATATTCCTTACATAAAACCCCAGTTTTAAAACAGCTGCTTTGAGAGCCAGTTCATTTCCGGGCTCGATTCAGGGGGCTCAGGTAATAATAATAATAATAATAATAATAATAATAATAATAATAATAATAATAATTTATTTATACCCCACCCAACTGGCTGAGTTTCCCCAGCCACTCTGGGCGGCTCCCAATCAAGTGTTAAAAACAGTACAGCATTACATATTAAAAACTTCCCTGAACAGGGCTGCCTTAAGGTTAGTGCTTAAAGCCCTAAATGACTCAGGAACCCTATACCTTAAAGTCTGTTTCCTTCCCTACAGACCCTGCCAGGTGCTAAGGTTGCCAGAGGCAGCTCCCTTGGTTGTTCCACAACCCTTTGATGAGCATCTCTTAGCGTACATTATGGTGTAGGAAAGGAAACATCTGAGTGGGGGATGAAGCACAGAAGAAAAGCTCTCCAGTGGTCTCCTCCAAAAAAAACCCATAACTGAAGTACTGCCATCCCTGGAATCTGCCCCCATTCAGGGAATGGTGAGTAGAAAACCAAATACGTAGCCAGGTTCAAAGCCAGTTAGTTTAAAACGAATAACTGGAAAAACCAGGAATAAGTAAGGTTTACTTGTATTGTTTTAGTAATAGTAAAAACTCTAGTTGGTGAGCGATTCTTGCCTCCCTGCTTTTATTCTGGGTTGTAATTATGGTATCTTGTTGTTATAATTATTGTATTTTCAGCCAGTTTTAAACTGCTGGTCTATGACCATAATAAGCTGATTGATTGAGGAATAAGTAAGGTTTAATGCAGTCCTATTCTGCAGGTTTGATTGACACCAGAAGAAGACTGAACATAGAAAGGAGATCTACAAAGTAGATCAAGATATACTGTATTAGATTTCTGGGTGATCTGCAGGATAGTGGCATGGGCTTCTGGGCAAGTAAAACTGCAAGTTAAATAAGAGCAATAATTTATCCCATTCTTTACTTGAAAAACATGTGTACTGCTTGTGCTGCAAGCGTCTTATTTATTTTATATATTTTCTCTAACCAATACAAAGAAAAAGAAAAAAAGCTGAACCAACCTGTGCAAGAACGGGAAGACATTTCAGGCAAAGGGAGGGAGAGGAAAATTGAATATGGAATAGGACTGCAGATAGCCATTTTAAAATATTGTGTATTTCAAATAATGAAATCTAAAATATAAATAAACTTTCAAACACATTGTGGTGTATGATACTTTCTATTTTCTTTATCTCCAGTTCAGCTGTTAGTTTAAGTTCACAGACCTCAATAATTTCAAATCAATGAAATCACTGGAAGAAATCAAGTTTACTTACAACAGATGAATGATTGTGTTTGGGAGATGTTAACAACAATTTTTTTTTTTAAATAGACAGTTCAAAAGACTCTGGGA